TGCTGTTCGGTTTCAGCAGCGACTGAATCGGTGACAGCTGGGGTGCTGCCGGGTTGGGTCCCGCAGCCCTGAGGGGCAGCGCTATGGGACCAACCTGGCAGCGCCCCAGCTGCTCTACCCTAGGCGTCCCCGATTCAGCCGCTGGTCAGTTTTAGCAGCGGCTGAATCGGGGAAGCTGGGGGCAGAGCAGATCCAATGGTCCAGCTGCCCGGAGCACTTCCGGGTTCCTGATGGTGCCGGACCATCAGGAGTGCCGGACCGTCAGATGCCGGACCATCAGAGTTTTACTGTAGTTGGTATCATGAGCATTTGTGGGCACAACCCACTTTTTCAGATGACCGCTGGTCAGTTTTAGCAGCGGCTGAATCGGGGAAGCTGGGGGCAGAGCAGATCCAATGGTCCAGCTGCCCGGAGCACTTCCGGGTTCCTGATGGTGCCGGACCATCAGGAGTGCCGGACCGTCAGATGCCGGACCATCAGAGTTTTACTGTAGTTGGTATCATGAGCATTTGTGGGCACAACCCACTTTTTCAGATGACAGCTCACCATCTACATATTTTGTTAGTCTTTAAGATGCTATTAGACTATTTGTTGTTGTTTAAGTTTTTCCTGTTACAAACTAGCTCTGCTACCTCCTGAAGCTTTCAGACTCAGATGAGTCGTACTGGTGACAAACCCACTTTTCCATTACCCTCGGGTTCTGTGCCAAATGCTGCTTTGAAGGACATGAAGACCAAGCCCCATTTGTATGTAAGGGAGATTATAAGAGAAGGAGCAATAAATATATATTCATGTCGTACCTTAAGCAACCAAGAACATACGATAAACCCAGAGGCAAAATTTATCCCCGGGACTCAGAAGAATGGTACCCACTTACCAAAGGGATGAATTTGGCTCTGGTAGAATTAAAAGGAATACTAAAGGAGAAGTGTTTGTACTGGGAAAAAGAATAATGGTATCCCCCCTAATGTGCGGATACACTCAGACATGTAGATCTACCTAGGTTTTTATACCACAAGCATTCCTGTAATGTCTGAGTTCTGGTGTTACCTAAATTACTTGTTACATGAAATACTATCAGCATTAATGAGAATATGGCTGCAGAAAAGTTAGTAATTTGCAAGAAAGAAGCACTCACTTCCTATACTGTAGTTGGGGTCTTGAGGTGATGAAGGGACGCAAGAGGGTCTGCACTCGGCCCTCCCAGCACCACACTGTGGGATAGTAAGTTTCCATCACGACAGGACAATGTTCTTGGAGAAAGTGGCAAAAGCTCTCACTGCCAGTCACCAGCTGAGGTTTCTAGGAAAAGAGACCACTGCTAAGTATGCAGCATCCCTGAACAATACTCAGGCAAAGCTGTTTCATTGTCTATCAGTGAGCTGACTTTTTTTTTTAATTAATTTTTGTTTTCATTTTAAAAACATAAGTACACCAAAAAACAAAAACCACCAACAAAAAGCAAAGAACAACACTATTGATTCTGAAGGGTATGGATTCATGAGAGGTTTCCAAAACAGTCTGGCTATTAAAGTACTTATCTCTAATGAAAAATAGTTTACACTGCCATAATGCCTTCCATCAAAGGATGGAAAGCACTTTGCAAATATTACTTACATCTCAAAATAAGCTTGTGTGATAGGCAGGTATTATTTCCTCCATTTCACAGATGTGGAAATGAAGAAACAAACACAACCTTTGCACAGAAAGCTTGAGGTCTGAAAATGCTAGTGCTGACAAGCTGCTGGTATTTTAAACAAGGTGTCACTTAGTCCTCTCTAGCTCCGCAGCAGTAGTGCAACAGTGGGAAATTTGAAGAAAAATGTTTGACGCAGCCTAAAGCCCAGCCAGAATAGGACCAAATTATCCTGACTCCCAATCCTTTGCCTTACCCACAAGGCCATCCTTCCTTTGGTGGAAAAGCATCAGTGTATGTTTCCAGTAATCATATACACTGCCATTCCTCTACTTTCTCCACAGATGAACTATCAGGCCAGCTAGATGTGTTTCTGGTTCACTGTATCCAAATTGAAAATCTGTGATGGATAGGTCCACCCCCACAAGCCTTGACCATGTTAATGTGGGACCAGTAAAGTCAATTAACCTTAGATACTATGCCTGGAGGGAAATGAAGGCTTGACAGGGCCTAATAGCAGACAAATCTCAGATGGATTAATAGTATAAAGCCAGGAAGTGAAAGCAAGACGGGGCTGAAAGGAGGAGATCTGTAGTCACTCTCTAGAAGGAAAAGTAGTTAGCCAGGGAGCAAGGAAGAGAAAGCCTTGGTATCCTGTCCTAGACTAGGCAGTCTCGCAAGAGGTTTAGAAGGCTGAAGTAGGCATGGGAAGCCGAGGCATGGAAGCTCTGCTGGTAATCCCAGAGATAAGCAAGGAGACAGAGGTGGGGTAGGAAAGAACAGGGAGAAATAACTGAGATTAAGCAGGTCTGGATTGCAAGTCAGAGGGTCCCTGGAATTTAATGTAGTATGGGAAGCCAGGCCCTCCTGCCAGCTGCTGGGAAGTGGTGCAGGACCTAGAAATGCAATGAAATGGCCTCTGAAGTGGCATCCTGACAGCTTGTCTGGTGTGAGTCTTGTTACCCTGGAAGTAGGGGAAGGGATTACATAGTGACATGGCCAGAAGGGGGAGCATGCCAACTCAGAGAGAGAGAGAGAGGACCAATAGAAGAATCAGATGGGGTAAAAACTAATAACCCAGACCCAGCCACAAGGAGATGTAATCTGTTGTGAGTGAACTCCTTCAAAGTCAATTATTGATGTGTGTAATACAAGCAGGGGAACACAGAAGTATCTGTGTTGTTTGTCAAAGTACCTAGTATATATCTAGCGAATGACAATGCAGGGAATAGAAACATTGTACTGAGGAGAAAACCACTTCCTTTGGCTGCAATGTTAGTAAATGCTCAGAATCAGAGAACAGAGTTTAGAAGGGGGAGAATTTTCTTAATTTTTCTCCTTCAAAACAACTGTTCCTAGCTAAGGTCTGGCTACAACAAATGACACTTAAAAATGCTGTCAGGATAAAGTTCTCCCCAATCCCTGTCCCCCAAAAACTGGATATGAAAAAAAGACTTAATGAGCCTAAGATCAACAGGGGGAAAACCCCCTAAGCATTCCCTTGGCAAGTGTCTGCCCCCAAACGAAGGAGCCCTCCCTAGGACAAGTGAGCCTGAGGGAGAGACCCTGCCGCTAGACGTCTTGAAAGTGAGATCACCACGGCCACGGCTTTGCTCTTACTTGTCCAAAGGTGAAGCCTTCAGACCAGAAGTGAATGGGGGGGAAGGGGGGAGCACTGAAGAGTGTCTGCGGTCAGCAAACTCCTCTCCGCTTTAGCAATCCATTGTAGCACAGCCAAGGACATTCGTCTCTTTTTTAACGGTTTAACCTGGCAGTGCCCCTGGTGTAAAGCGCTCACCCAGCATTTTCTCGGAGGCCGGTTGGGGCACGGATGGGGCTTCCAGCTCCCCCCTGTTTAGCCCGCCTGGGGTCAGTGGGTCCCTCCCCTCTGCTGCCGCCTGTTCCCACTCACCTTGGCGATGCTGCTGAGGTAGTAGCAGGCGAAAGCGGCGCTGAAGCCCAGCACCAGGGACAAGCCCACCCCGGAGCCGAAGAGCCCCACCGGCACCTGGCTCTCCAGGTACAGGGCCAGCTCCCGGGTCAGCCCCTGCAGATTGGTCTCCAGCAGCCTCATAGCAGCGAAGGCAGCTCGGGCCGGCGGGATGCGGGTCACACGCACACGCGGGGGGAGCGCCCGGCACGGCGGCGC